TACCAATATAAATCACTAATGTTCAGGATTTTTAATATTATTTGTGTGATGTGGACTTTGGTGACATGGCCAGAAATTATTGCCTGACCCTAATTGCTGTTGAGAAGGTGACATTAAGTCAACTTCTTGAGCTACCATAGTCCAGTGGTGCAGTACATCCATGGGGCTGTTAAGGAGGGAAATTCAGGCTTTTGAACTAGTGATTGTGAATAAACACAGGGCACAGATTCAAGTAGGTGATGGCCTAGTGGTGTTATCACTAGACTATTAATCCAGAGACCCAGATAATGTTCTGGGTTCAAATCCCATCATGGCAGATGGTGGAATTTGAATTTAATAATAGTCTGGAAGTAAGAGTTTAATGCTGACCATGAATCCATTATTGATTGTTGGGAAAAGCCCATCTGGCTTAGAAATGTCCTTCAGCGAAGGAAGCTGCCATCCTGACCTGGTCTGGAATTCATGTGACTCCAGACCCACAGCAATGTGGTTGATTCTTAACTGTCCTCCAGACAATTAGAGATGGGCAGTAAATGCTGGTCCAGCCAGTAATGCCCACATAGTCTGGATTGTGTTTGGCTTGGAGTGGAACCTGCTGTTGATGGCAGTCCATGTGTCTGCTGCTCTTGTTCTTTTAGCGGTAGGGATCATGATTTTGAAGCTGCTGTCAAAAGAGCCTTGATGAATTGCCGCAGTGTATTTTGTACAAAGTACATACTTTTGACACAGAATGCCTTGTGTGGATGGAGTGAATAATTAAGATGGTGTATCAGATGTCGACCAAATGGCTTTGGCTGCAGAGATAGTAGGAACTGCCGATGCTGGAGAATCTGAGATAACACAGTGTAGAGCTGGATGAACACAGCAGGCCAAGCAGCATCATAGGAGCAGGAAGGCTGACGTTTCGGGCCCAGGCTGCGTAGTCTTGATCTACTGGAGCAGCATTCATCAAGGAAGTAGAGTATATTCCATCATAATTTCAGGCTTGAGCCTGTGGGCCATGAACAGATTCTGCAAGGTCAAAATATGAATTAACTATCACAAACTTCTCGGCATCTGACACGTTCTTGTAGCCACAGTATTTATATGGCTGCTCCGGTTAAGTTTCTGGGCAAATGTGATCAGCAAGAATTAATACTGGGACTCAGCAACATTATCGCTGTTGATTCTCTCTTGTGACCTCCATGAAGGTCACTTAACTGCCCAAATCCTGAATGGAGTTCATCTGTTATCACTTGTAGGCATGGACAGCTTCAATGTCTAATGATTAGTTTCAATATCTAATGGACAGCTTCAGTGTCTAAGAAGTTGTAACTGAACATTATGAAATCATTGACAAACATCCCCTTCTCACTTTATGTTAGAGGGAAGATCATTGATGAAACGCTTGAAGATGGTCAGACCTAGGACAATACCATGGCAGTGATATCCTGGGAATGGGCTGAATAATCTTGAATATCAGCATATCTTGTGCTGAGTACAATTAACAAGATCTGTGGCCAAGACGGCCTACAGTAACCCAAAACAAGCATCAGTGAGCAGGCTGTTTGTGAGTTAGTGCTGTTTGAAAGGACTGTCATGACATAAAAACCATGCAAGCCTGTCCAGTGTGGTGGATAAGATTAGTGTCGTCAGGCCCCCAAGCACAAATAGCAACTTGGGAATATGGTGTGGATTGGGTCTTTCATACATCCAAGGATACAAAGGGAAGAATTTAATGTCAGCAGCACAGGTCCCAGCAGTGAAATTGAAGTAGAGGAAACACCCATGCTCTTTGGGTGGAAGGGGTTGGCTGTATGAAATCAGCCAATTAACTAAGTAGAGGACTGGGCCCCCATGAATCAAGTGTCATATATGGGCATGAAGCTGTCGTTCAGGCAATGGGAGCACAGATTCTGCTCCATTTTCAAATGGGAATCAGATGTGACTGCAGTACTTCAGAGCTTCCTGCATTACATTGTCAGCCACCTTGAGGGTTCATCTGATAACACAGAGCATCACCTCAGGTTTCTGCAGCGTTCAATCCATGGAGTGGAGCAAGAGACAGTTACCAGAGGAATGTTGAACAGATAAAACATATGACCTCACAATTTAGCAATGTTTCCCTGCAGATTGCCTCCAGGTTGTACAGGAATAGTGTGATGTATTGTTCCCAAAGAAAAATAAGAAGAGAGCCTTCCACCTGGTCAAGGAAGTCTGGGTGGAAATAACAGCAGAGGTCAGCAGATGTGGGATTCAGTAACATTTCTGGATCCAGTCAATGACCTCCTCCACACTGGGGAAAGTCTAAGTAGGCAATGACTCTCCTGTAGGCAATGTGCCATGGGGAAGAATGGGCTAAACCACTTGAACGAATTATATGCCCTCACAGCAGTTGCCTCCTGAGTATTAGCTGCAAGTGAGTGACTAGCATTGGCCTCAGTGCCAGCACCGTCCAAATTCCATGAGACTGGAAATGGGTACAAGAGCTGGGAAGACCCATTATGTATCGGAGCAATGCCAGGCAACTAGGGGGTCAGTTGATCATTGACACTCAATATCCCGTTCTGCCTTAAGGTGAAAAGGGTCTATGACACCAGAGAAAGGGTGACAGCAGGTGGCATTGTGTTGAACGTCTTTATTCTGACACCTGCTGAGGAGGAAGATGTTGAACTGCCGAAGAGAACATGTTGCTTAGGCCAGCGGGTAATGATAGAGATCAGGCAATGATTAAATGGGGTGTAGGTGCCTTGATCTCAGTCTCCACTGCTAGGTAGGAAGGAAGCATTCATCAGGAATCAATGAGAAATTTAATAGTAATGTCTTTACCTTAATTGTTAATGTTCTCCATGCAGGTATATGCACATTGGAAGGGCAGCTTGCTGCACTGACAGGAGCCCTGCAGTGCACCTCAGGGCAGTTGGGCACCAAAACCCCAAAAGGCACAGTTATCACATCTTACCTCCAAACCCTCCATCAGCACACAAACATTCATCTCAGTGGGGATACATTTGTGGTTACAGGCATGCTCATACTGGGCTCCAGGTTGATAATGAACCTTCAGCGTCAGCTATATGGAGTCACATGTGGATATCCTGAAGCTATGTGCAGCCATTCACAGATAACGGAGAAGTCCATCCAGACCTTGTAAGTCCTGCCATGTCTCAGATGTGTAAACTCATAATTTCCTCTATAGACCGCCATGGAAAGCCAGATCTAGAGGACCTCTCTGTGGCTGCTGAATATATGCTGAGATTTTCATGCAATCACTTTGACCATCATCTTGATGCAACAGTGGCAATAGCCACAGCAGTAGGCTTGCTTGGACTTCTCTTCACGTCTTCTCTTCATCTCCAGTAGATGGATTAGCACTATAATACTGAAAGGGAGGAAAAGGAACAGCCTACTGCATTTTGTTTATTCATTTGTGGGATGCAGGTGTTGCTGGCAAGGCCAGCATTTATTGCCCATTTCTAGTTGCCTTGAAGAAAGTGGTGCTGAGCTTCAGACCTGAATAACTGTATTCTTTGGGGTGTAGGTATGCTCGCAATGCTGTTAGTGAAGGATCTCCAGGATAGTGACCCAGCAACACTGAAAGAATGGCAATATAATTCCAAGGCAGGAGGGTGTGTGGGTTTGAGGATCTTTTGCAAGTGGTGGTGTGCTCATGTATAAGCAGTTCTTGTTTGTCTTAGTGGTAGAAGCCATGGGTATAGAAGGTGCTGTCAAAGAAATTTGGGTAAATTACTGCAGTGCATCTTGAAGATGGTACACACTGCTGCCACCTGTGTGACAGTGAGTATTGAAAGTGCTGGATGTAGCACCAATCAAGTGTGCTGTTTTGTCCTGGATAAATTGATTGAATTTTGGCAGAGCTGCACCTTCCAGGCAAGTGGGGAGTATCCCACCATATTCCTAGCTTGAACCTTGCAGGTGGTGGACAGGTTTTATGGAGACAGGAGGTGAGTACTTGGCACAGAATTCCCAGCCGTTGACCTGCTCTTGTAGCCATAGTACTTAAATAGCCATGCTGACAGAATTTCTGAGTAATAATTACCTATGATGATGTTGATAGTGGGAAATTCAACAGCACTAATGCCATTGAGCATCAAGGGGTCAAGATTAGATTCTCTCATATTGAAGATGAACATTAGCTGGCACGTGTGGCACAAATGTTACTTGCCATTTATGAGCCCTGAATGTTGTCCAGGTCTTGTTAGATATGGACTTGGAGAGCTTCAGTATATGAGGAGTATTGAATGGTGCGGAATATTGTGCAATAATCAGTAGAACATCCCCATTTCTGACATTATGATGGAGAGAAGATCATTGGTGAAGCACCTGAATATGGTTGGGCCTAGGACACCACCCTGAGGAACTCCTGCAGAGATGCCCAGGGGATGTGATGACTGACCTCCAAAAACAACAACCATCTTCCTATGTGCCAGGTATGATACCAACCAGTAAAGGGTTTTTTCCTTGATTCCCATTGACTCCAGTTTTGCTCAGGACCCTTCATGCCATACTTAGTCAAATGCTATAAGGAGCTTGGATTATTATCTACGTTTGGATGAAGGCAATAATACCTGAGTTCAAACACAGAGCCAGGTGATCCTAGTGGAGCCCACACTGAAGACCAGTGAATAAGTTATTCCATGTAAGTTCCACTTGATAGCTCTGTCGATGACCCCTTCCAATACTTTGCTGATGATCAAGAGAAAATTGAAAGGGTGGGATTTTACATGGTGGGATTTGTCCTGCTATTTGTTTACAGGAAGTAAGAGGGCCATTTTCTGTTTTTCTGCGTACATAACGGTGTTATCGTTATACAGGAACAGCAAGGTTAAGAGCATAGCTTGTCCTGATGAACAAATCTTCTATACTACTATTAAAAGCAAAATACTGCAGATGTCGTAAATCTGAAATAAAGATAAAAAATGCTGGAAAAGCTCAGCAGGTCTCACAGCATCTGTGGAGAGAAACAGAGTTAACGTTCTATATCTGATATGACTCTCCTTCAGAACTCTGTGAGCGCCCAGAAGCACATCGAAAAGAGTAACCTGGTAGTAGGAATGTCAACATTCTTTCAATCCTCTGGCACCCTCAACATACCAAGGAAAGGTCAGAGACTGGGGCAAATTGTACCCAACAACTTCTTTCAGCTACCTCAGTGCCAACCATCTGAACTAGGTAATTTATTCTCTCTAAGCACAGCCAGCTTGTCTTGTACATCTTTACAGCAACTTTCAATTCATTCTTAACTTTACCATTTCTACTTTTTGTTTGTGAAAATTCAGGACAATAACTCACAGGGCAGCATGGTGGCTCAGTGGTTAGCACTGCTACCTCACAGTGCCAGGTACCCGGGTTTGATTCTAGTCTTAGGTGATTGTCTGTGTGGAGTTTTCATGTTCTCCCCTGTGTCTGCATGGATTTCCTTTCACAGTCCAAATCTGTGCATGTCAGGTGGATTGGCCATAGTAAATTGCCCTGTAGTATCTAGGGATGTGTCCGATACAAGGATTAGCCATTGTAATTGCAGGGATAGTTGGGTGGGCAGGTACTGGGCAGCGTGCTCTTTGGAGGGTCGGTGCTGACTCGATGGGCCGAATGGCCTCTTTCCACACCTTAGAGATTCTAGGTCATTTTTAGAGGGTGGTTAAGAGTCAACCACATCGCTTTGAGTTTTGAGTCACATGTAAGGCAGACAGAATAATGACAAATGATTTCCAAATCTAAAGAATACCATACAATCAGGTGAGTTTTTGTGACAGTCTAGTATTTTCATGATCATTTTATTTCAAATTTGTTCAATTACTTGAATTTAAATTGCCCAGTGGGATTGAAATGCACGTTTCCAGAGGATTAGTCCCAGCCTGTGGATTTAGTACAGTAACATTATCACTATGTTGCTGTTATATCTTCTATTGAGAGTTTTTATTAAACATTTATAATTCTTATTTGGATAACAATTTTTGAATGACGACACATAAATCCTTACATCAATGACAGATTTATCCAACCACATAAATATAGTAGTCTACCTCTTGGGTCTCCAACAGTGGAAGTGTTCATTTGATTGAATTCTTTCTGAACATTGAGAGGCCACCCCCTTGATTTTGTTAAACTGTCCTATCAAGCATTTTTTTAAAATTCCATGCTTTAGGCTAATACTGCCACCAGTTAGGTTACTTCTTCCCATTAGTTTTTTTTTGGCTAAGTGCAAGTTGTGCTGAGTTCGATGGAATGATTTTTGCGGGAAAGCCAAATGGGTTTTCTCACTGTATCTTACACAGGCCCCTAGCATTCTCAGCCCCCTACTATACTCCCTGTACACCCATGACTGTGTAGCCAAATTCCATATGAATGCCATCTACAAGTTTGTTGATGACACCACTGTGGTAGGCCAGATATCAAACAATAATGTGTCAGAAAACAGAAAGGAGATAGAGTGCTGTGTCGTGGTGCAATGATAACATGCTCACTCTCAATGTCAGCAAAACAAAAGAACTGATCATTGACTTCAGGATGAAAGGTGGAGGTTACACCCCTATCTGCACCAATGGAGCTGAGGTGGAGAGGGCTGAGAGTGTCAAGTTCCTAGGAGTGACAATAACCGACAACCTGTCCTGGATCTCCCACGTAGATGTGACAGTCAAGAAGGCACAACAATGCCTCTTCTTCCTCAGACAACAAGGTGCAGAGCTGGATGAATACAGCAGGCCAAGCAGCATCATAGGAGCAGGAAGGCTGACGTTTCGGGCCTAGACCCTTCATCAGAACTGGGGGAGGGGAAGGGGGTTCTGAAATAAATAGGGAGAGAGGGGGAGGTGAAAAGAAGATGGATAGAGAAGAGGATAGGTGGAGAGAAAACAGACAGGTCGAAGAGGCGGGGATGGAGCCAGTAAAGGTGAGTGTAGGTGGGGAGTTAGGGAGGGGATAGGTCAGTCCAGGGAGGACGGACAGGTCAAGGGGGCGGGATGAGGTTAGTTGGTAGGAGATGGGGGTGCGGCTTGAGGTGGG